AGCGGGGTCTTCTTCTTCCTCTTCATCCTGCTGCTGCTGCTGCTGCTGCTGCTGCTGCTGCTGCTGTTGCTGCTGGTCAGGTGTTGCTGCTGCTGCTGTTGTTACAGCTGAGCCTGTTGCTGCTGCTGCTGCTGCTGCTGCTGCTCCATCTATAAACACAGAAAAAATAAAAACAAAAAAACAAAAAAAAGAAAAAAAAGAAAAAGAAAACACCCAAGGGGCCCCCCCGCGGTGCCGCCGGTTCTCCTTCTGCTGCATCCTACCAACAAACCCTAAACCCTAAACCCTAAACCCTAAACCCTAAACCGTAGAGTTTAAACCCTAGAAGAAAAAAAGACAACCAGAACGAGGAGAAGACAAAGGCCTCGCGGCTCTCTCTCTCTGTTAGGGTTTAGGGTTTAGGGTTTAGGGTTTAGGGTTTAGGGTTTAGGGTTTAAGAAGACAAGGAGATATAGAGAAAACATATAAAGGGTTTATATAAACCCTAAAAAGAGTGGTAGTGGTTATAGAGAAGCAGAGACGAATCTGTTCTCTACACGGTGAGGTGTATGTACACCTCAGCAGGTACTTCTGCTGTTTTTCTTTGCCTTCTTCGCGTCTTCTTCTCATAAATATATAAAAAAGAACAACAAAAATATATAAAAATATATTAATATTTATTTCTGCGTGTTTATACACCTAAATATCCTCAATATAATACACAAATAAACAGCAGCAGCAGCAGCAGGGGTGGGGGCTGAGGCACGCAAGAAGGTGAGGGTTGTGTAGGGTAAGCAACCGATAAAAATATATTTTATGTATTAAAATATTTAATTTATTATTTTATTTTATATTTATTTATTTATTTTTTTATTTTATTCTGAATTTTACACTTTAAACGCCGTCGATTCATATATTTTTTATATATTTCTCTTTTTTTTTTTTACTAAGAGACGGGGTGTATAGGCAGCTCGTTCTCAGCCGCCAGTGCGTTCTCTCTTACCCCAAAAAATAAAATAAAAACACAAATAAATATATTAAATTAATTATAAATTAATTATAAATTAAATATAAATTAATTTAATTAAATAAAAAAGAAAAACACGCTGTATTTTCTTCTCTCTCTCTCCCTTTCTTTTGCTTTCTTTTGAGCCTCTGGCTGTGGGGTCATCCCGGTGGTGTTTTCTGTTTTTTT